TGGTTAAGCACTGTTTTTTGTGTTTTTGTTGCCTGCGTATACCCAATGTGCTTTGTTTTGTACCTTTATTTCAAAATATGAATAAAAAGAATTAGAAAAAAAAACGGTTGGATAACTAAAGATCTGGCGAAAGTGCATGCAATAACACCATCATTCTATTGATATTTTTTGCCCAACTGTCGTCATTTTATCAATCAATAACGTAAACGGTACATTTCCGGGGATTACACGATGTTGACAGACTTCCAAAGTTAAATTTTAACATGTAGAGTTTTTCAGACTGTTTTGGATCGATTCAACTACTAATCATTAGAAAACCGAATGCTTAGGCTCAAAATATCAGACATGACACTGCCTTTTTTGCCAAAAAACTTTGCATTTCAATAATCAAAATTAGCCCACTAATGTTTCGAAATGTAAACGATCAAGCTTATTGAATGCTTTTTAGAATGATTTTCTAGCCATTTATGACAGCATTATAAAGAGGAACTTCACCCCTGAGGGTAATCTTGTTGTCACCCCTTTTTACTTTTTTCACTGGTTATGCCCTATTGGCATATTCACATGCCCATTGTTTTGCTGTAATTCGCCATTCCCCTGCTGCACAACAGGTCCAGCACCGCCATCTTTTTATCTAATGTCATCAGGAACCAGCTGTCTCTTCCTGGTTCCTGCAGCCAACTCCCAATAAGTCAGCCCTCCACCATGTACAGTGGGTATAAAAAGTCTACACACCCCTGGTAAAATGTCAGGTTTCTGTGATGTAAACAAATGAGACAAAGATAAATAATTTCAGAACTTTTTCCACATTTAATGTGACCTATAAACTGTACAACTCAATTGAAAAACAAACTGAAATCTTTTTTTGGGGGGGGGGGGGGGGGGGGGGAGTAAACACAAAAAACTAAAATAATGTGGTTGCATAAGTGTGCACACCCTTTTATAACTGGGAATGTAGCTGTGTTCAGAATTAAGCAATCACATTCAATATTATGTTACATAGGAGTCAGTACACACCTGCCATCATTTAAAGTGCCTCTGATTAACCTCAAATTCAGCTGTTCTAGTGGGTCTTTCCTGACATTTCCTTAGTCACATCCTACAGCAAAAGTTATGGTCCACAGAAAGCTTCCAAAGCATTAGAGGGATCTCATTGTTAAAAGGTATCAGTCAGGAGAAAGGTACAAAAGAATTTCTAAGGCATTAGATATACCATGGAACACAGTGAAGACAGTCATCATCAAGTGGAGAAAATATGGTGCAACAATGACATTACCAAGAACTGGACCTCCCTCCAAAATTGATGAAAAGACTAGAAGAAAACTGGTCTGGGAGGCTGCCAAGGGGCCTACAGCAACATTAAAGGAGCTGCTGGAATATCTGGCAAGTACTGGCTGTGTGGTACATGTGACAACAATCTCCCGTATTCTTCATATGTCTAGGCTATGGGGGTAGAGTGGCAAGACGGAAGCCTTTTCTTAGGAAGAAAAACATCCAAGCCCGGCTAAATTTTGCAAAAACACATCTGAAGTCTCCCAAAAACATGTGGGAAAATGTGTTTTGGTCTGATGAAACCAAGGTTGAACTTTTGGCCATAATTCCAAAAGATATGTTTGACACAAAAACAACACTGCACATCACCAAAAGAAACACCATATCCACCATGAAGCATGGTGGTGGCAGCATCATGCTTTGGGGCTGCTTTTCCTTAGCTGGAACTGAGGCCTTCGTCAAGGTAGAGGGAATTATGAACAGTTCCAAATACCAGTCAATATTGGCACAAAACCTTCAGGCTTCTGCTAGAAAGCTGAACATAAAGAGGAACTTCATCTTTCAGCATGACAACGACCCAAAGCATACATCCAAATCAACAAAGGAATGGCTTCACCAGAAGAAAATTAAAGTTTTGCAATGGCTCAGCCAGAGCCCAGACCTGAATCCGATGGAAAATCTGTGGGGTGATCTGAAGAGGGCTGTGCACAAGAGATGCCCTCACAATCTGACAGATTTGGAGTGTTTTTGCAATGAAGAGTGGGCAAATATTGCCAAGTCAAGATGTGCCATGCTGATAGTCATACCCAAAATGACTGAGTGCTGGAATCAAATCAAAAGGTGCTTCAACAAAGTATTAGTTTAAAGGTGTGCACACTTATGCCACCATACTATTTTAGTTTTTTTACTTCCCTCCACCTAAAATATTTCAGTTTGTTGTCCAACTGAGTTGTACAGTTTATAGGTTACATTAAAGGTGGAAAAAGTTCTGAAATGATTTATCTTTGTCTCATTTTTTTACATCACAGAAACCTGACATTTTGACAAGGGTGTGTAGACTTTTTATATCCACTGCATATGTGTACTGTCATCATCCCTTATTTGTGCTGGGAAAACTCTCTCCAACAGAAACCGGTCACTGTTCACGATAGGAAGCTAGGGGCTGGGCTCCAATAACAATGACAGCTAATTGCAGTGATCGTATGCAGCACTTGTAGCATTAGGAACTTTCAAAGGGCTAGCTCCTGGTTAGACCCTTCCCTACTCTATCCTATCTAAAACAAAAACAAAGTTTTGACTAAAGATGTACTTTAAAGCGGAACTAAACCCTTCTATCCTTTTCAGCCAAGGAAGCTGCCATCTTAGCCTCTGTTTGATCTGCAAATGCCATGGGGCTGCACCTGCTGGCCCCTATCACTACAGGAAACAGTAGGGGCTGGTGGGAGAAACCAAAGTTCTTGGAAATGGACCAGGAATCTGTCAGATTCAGGAGATTCTTTAAGAGGTAGCTTCTCTGCACTACAGGGGTTATTGGCTGAATGAGCAACAAGAGAGGTAAGTATTAAACACCTTCTTTACAAGGGCCCTGGTTTTTAACATTTTTGTTTTAGCATGAGAGTCACTTTAATACCTGTGCTTCCAAAACCCGAGGATATGACACAAAAATGGTGCCTGGGGATCAGACTCAGACATTAGCCACAATATGGTCACATTTCTACAAAGTGAAGCTCAATGACTAATTTCAGCCATGCTGTATTTGCAGCTATGACCTGCACACTAGTTACAGAAGGGACAGAGATAATGTCTGCCTGCAGAATGGCGTCAGCTCAAGCCAAACATGTACAGGCCACTACTTGCAGCAACAAACATCTGCACCTTCTTCCACCTTAGGGCTTGGAGCCAGCTACTAACCCTTGAGGACAGTTTTTTTTAACATGAGCTCAGTGAATTCAAGCGTGGTACCGAGATAAGTTGCCACCTGTGCAAAAGGTCCATCAGTGAAATTTCCTTGCTACTTAATATTCCACGGTTAACTGTTAGTGGTATTATAACAAAGTGGAAGCAAATGGGAGCAACAGCAACTCAGCCACAAAGTGGTAGGCCACATAAAATGACAGAGCGAGGTCAGCGCATGCTGAAGCGTACAGTGCGCAGAAGTCACCAACTGTCTGCAGGGTCAATAGCTAAAGACCTCCAAACTTTGTGTTGCCTTCAGATTAGCACAACAACAGTGCATACAGAGCTTCATGGAATGGATTTCCATGGCTGAGCATCTGCATCCAAGCTTTATATCACCAAGTGCAATGCGAAGCCTCGGATGCAGTGGTGTAAAGAATGCTGCCACTGGACTCTAGAGCAGTGGAGACGTGTTCTCTGGAGTGACCAATCATGCTTCTCTGTCTGGCAATCTGATGGACGTGTCTGGGTTTGGCAGTTATCAGGAGAACGGTATTTGCCTGACTGCATTGTGCCAAGTGTAAAGTTTGGTGGAGGGGGGATTATGGTGTGAGGTTGTTTTTCAGGTTTTGGACTTGGCCCCTTAGTTCCAGTGAAGGGAACTCTTAAGGTGTCAGCATACCAAAACATTTTGGACATTTCATGCTCCCAACTTTGTGGGAACAGTTTTGGGGATGGCCCCTTCCTCTTCCAACATGACTGCACACCAGTGCACAAAGCAAGGTCCATAAAGACATGGATGAGCAACTATAGGGTGGAGGAACTTGACTGGCCTGCACAGAGTCCTGACCTCAACCCGACAGAACACCTTTGGGATGACTTAGAGTGGAAACTGTGAGCCAGGCCTTCTCGTCCAACATCAGCGCCTGACCTTACAAATGTGCTTCTGGAAGAATGGTCAAACTAGGGTTGCCACCTCATCCCTTTAAACCCAAACACATATAAATTATACAGGTTCTGAGGCTGATTAAGGTGGTAATTACCTCACTTAGTGCCTTATCTGAATTAAGTGAGCCTCAGAATGTGTGTAATTAATGTGTTCGGGTTTAAATAGATGAGGTGGCAACCCTAGGTCAAACATTCCCATAGACACACTGCTAAGCCTTGTGGACAGCCTTCTCAGAAGAGTTGAAGCTAAGGTTGCCACCTCATCCCTTGAAAACTGAACACATATAAATTACACAGGTTCTAAGGCTCACTTAATTCAGATAAGGCACTGAGTCCAATTACCACCTCAGTCAGACACAGAACCTGTGTGTTTGGTTTAAAGGAATGAGGTAGCAACCCTAGTTGAAGCTGTTATAGCTGCAAAGGGTAGGCCAACTCAATATTGAATCCTATGGACGAAGACTGGGATGCCATTAAGGTGCATGTGCGTGTAAATTCAGGCGTCCCAATACTTTTGGCAATACATTGTATCTCCTTCACACTCCTTCCCACTCTAGGAGTCCCCCTACACCTAACAAACACGTAACGACAGCTCTTGGTGACCTCACAGAAACCTTGTCTACTGATTGGTTCGCTTCATAAGAGGCACTAGCCCGAGTTCCACGCCTACCCAGCTCAAGCAACTCCATCACTCCAGCTGTCGCTGACGTCACGGAACGCTCCTTACCCACGGATTGGTTGCGTTTAGAACAGGGCCCCGCCCGAACTCTCCGCCCCCGTCAGGCCCCTTTGTCCACTCGCTTGTGGGAACGTCACTGCTGCGGCTGGAGCGAGCGCTGAGTGTATCTCGCTCCCGCGCGAGATTAGAGCAGGCCGGGGTTAAGATGGCGGCGCCCGTGCTCAGAGTGTCTGTGCCGCGGTGGGAGAGCGGGGCCCGGTATGTGGTGTGCGTCCTCGGTATCGTCCTGGCCCTGTACGCCTTCCACGTGGAGAGAGAGAAGGAGAGGGACCCCGGCTACCAGGCCATGTGCGACATCAGCGAGCGGGTGCGCTGCTCCAGCGTCCTCTCCTCCAGGTACCGGCCAGGGAGTAGAGCGGGGGTCCGGGCTGACTGAGCACACACCTCCCTGTGAGGAGGACTCCCAGCCATAGCTGCCTCATGGTCCTGAAGTGCCGGTCCCATAGAGGGATGTGGGAGTTGGGCTCTGGTGTCTCCCTCACCACCTACACAGGGAGCTCAATGTCTACTCTGCTGGGTAGGGCTGGAGCTGCGGCCACGTCTTCATAGGTGGGACTGGTGTCAGCCGGTATCATGGTGATTAGATTAGGAGGCTGAGAACCTGTCCTGACCTCTGCACTTCATAGGACTACTATAGGGAGGGAGGACCAATCCCATCCTCCCAGCATCATACATGGAGCCTCTCCGTACAGGTGTCACCCACATTCCACACATAACATAGATCCTCATGTGTCATCAGGACAGGCATTTGTAGAGCTGCCAGGATGACATGGCTGGGGGCCAGAGACAACCACACCTCCACAGCCTGATCATTTCAGTTGACTGCATTCCTCTCCAAAGGAGGAAGTGTACATCATGTCCTCCCCAGCAGGAGGGGACCACTGGGCAAGGACCTGCCTGTTCATTGTTTACAAGCTGCTGCCCCTGTCACCATAGACACCAATACACGTTGCTTTTCAGTTAGCGTAGACATGCCTTAGGTATCCTAGAATTATGATCTGTCTGCCATACACGGAACAAGTTTTCGCTGATTCCTGATGAGCTGGCCAAAATTTGAGCTGTTTGTGACCCTGTTGGCCTGTTCTCCTTTAGGCCTCATTCACACTAGGGTGAATTTCCATGATTTCAAAACTGTTAAAATTTGAAATCGCAGAACCGTGTGCTTGGGTGTCATCCATTGTAATGGCATCGGAAAACGCAGTGCGGTTCTGCCACGATTGTTGGGGCCAGCCATGGCGTGTTTCTGAACTTCTTTTGGGCAACGCAGTTTGCCACAATTGCAGAGTGATTTATTAAGATTAAATGAAAAAAATTTATTAAAATGAAAGGCACCTAACACACAGTTCCACGACTTTACATTTCAGCAGAGCGTTTTGAAATCATGGGTACAGTCGCAGCGATTCTGTCTGCAATTATTTATTTCAGGTACTTATAACACCGTCAGTTTACGCAGAGCTTTACATATATATTGTACATTCACATCAGTCCCTAACCCTCAAGGGGTGTGCAATTCCAAATGCCCTAGTGTGAATGAGGCCTCAGGGCTCGTTCACACCAGAACATGGTACTGGAAACCCTTATTCTGTGTGCTTTTTCTACACCGTGCTCAAAGTGCATTGGGTGTGCAATCTGCATATGTCATTGTATTCCTAATGATACCCCAGGCATTTGCCAGCACTAGATTGCATGGTACTACAGTGTGCTTTTGAAATGTAGTGCATACACTACTTATGGTGCGATTTCAGCTCTTTCAGAAGAATATCTTTCCCTTTAATGAATGGAAGTAGGGGAAGAAAGTGTAGGCTTACTCTACATGCTTGATGAGTGCCTGTCACAGCTCCAGCACTGGTATTAACCCATGCAACACTGGAAGAATATAAGAAGGGGGCGGGTGACTTCAGATTTCCACTAGCACCAGAACAAGGAACACAAATGTTAAAATGTATTGCCAGCTTTAGGGTATCTATAATTTCAGCTCTTTCAGATGAATGGGCTGACAGTCACACTGCACTGAATCTCTCAGGAATGTAGACTGTGTTTTGTGTGATTTAGGTATGAATTGGCCCCCAATGCTACATTCACACTTGCGATTTGAAGCTAAAAAAGGCTCAAACTCAAATCAATTGTTCTCTATGGTGTCTGTTTGTGCGATCAGGTGTGAACAGGCACCATAGAAAACAATTGATTTTTTTTTTTTTTTAAAGTTAGAGCGTTTTTCGAGCTTCAAGCTACAAATCGCTCAAATGCGAATGTAGCCTGAATCTAAAAAACAGCAAATAATTCTTGCATGTGAATGGAGCATAGCAGATGTATGAAAGGTCCACCTCCCCCATTCATTGATAGCTTTTCATTCATGGAAGCTATACTACAGCTTCAATGAATGGAAGTGGGGGGAAGGAAGTGTATGCTTACTCTACATGCTTGATGAGTGCCTGTCACAGCTCCAGCACTGGTATTAACCCATGCAACACTGGAAGAATATAAGAAGGGGGCGGGGGACTTCAGATTTCCACTAGCACCAGAACAAGGAACACTAATGTTAAAATGTATTGCCAGCTTTAGAGTATCTATAATTTCAGCTCTTTCAGATGAATGGGCTGACAGTCACACTGCGCTGAATCTCTCAGGAATGTAGACTGTGTTTTGTGTGATTTAGGTATGAATTGGCTCCAATGCTACATTCACACTTCAGCGATTTGTAGCTTGATGCAAAAAAGGCTCAAACGCAAATCAGTTGTTCTCTATGGTGCCTGTTCACGTGAACAGGTACCATAGAAAGCAATAGATTTTTTTTTTTTTTTTTTTTTTTAAAAGTTAGTGTTTTTCAAGCTACAAATCGCTCAAATGGGAATGTAGCCTAAATCTAAAAATCAGCAAATAATTCTTGACCAAACAGTAGTTGCTTTCAATCAGCCAGAGGTGTCAGCAGTCAGAATACAGTAGCTGGCAGAAGGGATTCCTCAGTGCTGTTTAGTGTGGGAATCATGTGAACTGAGTGGATGAGGGAATCAAGTAATTTATCACATTCAGCCTGCATGGATGAAAAAAAAAATGTGAAGTTTAAAGCCGTATTAAACCCAAAAACAAAAAATGTTTTTTGTTACAGCTTACTGTTCATTAGATGTGGTGGCTGCTTTTTTTTGCTTTTTCCCCTCTTGTTTTCACCTGATGATTATGCCAGTAACACCATCTGTGTTGGTAAGACACCACTCTGGAGGAATGAGTGTAGGACACAGCAGACATCAGCATTGTTAGTCTAGGGGGGATGGGAGTGTTAAATGTATTAGCAGATTTGAATGCAGTAACAAAATAAAGCCAAGCTCCAGCTAGCACTTTATAATCTGTTACAACAAACAGTTTTGTTCCTTTTGGGGTATTGGTTTTACAAGAATAAAACGGATCATTTTAATAAACCTGCCAGTTATAAATGGATGGTCTTATCCATGTAAACTGATACTCTGCTGAAGAGCTTGAACTTCTTAACAGCAGACTTGACGGAATCACCAGATGAAGAGTACAAGGGAAACAAATACAGCCATCACATCTAAGAATTAGTGAGCTACAGTACAATAAATGCTTGCTTTTGGGTTTACTACTTCTTTAAAGGATAAGTTCACCTTTCGTAACATTTTACGTGTTACTCTCTGAGTGGCCCTTGATTCCTGCTTTGACAGCTAGCAGGGGATTTACCCCCCCCCCATTAACTGTCTGCCCTCTTGGCCATTTCAGTAATTCACATTATTCTGTGATTGAGAAACTACAAGTCCCGGCAGCCTTAGCAGCTGTCAACTTGTAGGCCTTCATGATTTACCACGGCGCTGTGGAGCACTGTGGTAGTTCATTGCATCTGCCTGTCACTATATTTGCTTGCCTGTACATTCTGTATGGGCAGGCAGATATCCTGACATATCTGCAGGAGACCTGCATGGCACCAGCGATCTGCTGACCGCTGATGCAATGCTTTCCAGGCTTCTGCAGAAAAAAATAGTAAATGCGCATTTTTTTTTACCTGCAAAAAATGTGCTTTTTTTTTTTTTTTTTTTTTTTACTGAAAGGTGAACTTATCCTTTAAAGTGGATCCCCCCCCAATCCAATTTGTTTTTAAACCCCTAATTACCTGGTGTGTTCTGCACATTTCACACAGCGGATCCAGCACTCGGTTCTGCACCGACAAAAGGCTGCCAGCTGTTCCTGGTTCAACTGTCAGGCCTTCTGATGACTCAATGCTAGGCCCAGTCCCGCCATCTTTACTGAATGAAAGGCCTCTGGGATATGTGACACACATATTCCAGGATGCAAGGGAGGTCAGTGCACGTCATGGGTAAATATAGGGAGAAAAGAGTGGGAATATGTTTTAGAGGTGAAGATCTGCTTTAAGAAAAAGTTTTAAAAAAATCAGCACAAGGAATTACATTTAACACAATGTGTCCCTTCTGGTACTGGCTGTGATAATGACAATCTTAAACTGGAACTAAACCCATCAATATAACTTTTTCAAAATAGTTACGTCCAAGGCTTACTGTGAATGCTTTCAGTTACATTTGCTTCTGCTCTCAACCAAACTGTCCATCCATCCCTTGAACCTATGAGAGGCATTTGAGTGCCATCTAGCCCCAATTTTTCCACCCCCTCCTCCATTCATCAAAGCTGTACTATGACTTCTGTGCATGGAGCATAGCAGATGTATGAAAGGTCCACCTCCCCCATTCATTGATAGCTTTTCATTCATGGAAGCTATACTACAGCTTTAATGAATGGAAGTGGGGGAAGAAAGTGTAGGCTTACTCTACATGCTTGACGAGTGCCTGTCACAGCTCCAGCACTGGTATTAACCCATGCACCACTGGAAGAATATAAGAAGGGGGCGGGGGACTTCAGATTTCCACTAGCTGTAAATCTGAAGTCAAGGGACACGTCTCTTAAAATGTATTGCCAGCTTTAGGGTATCTTTAATGTTTAGAACGGAGTAGAGGGGGTAAGAACCCTTGTCAGATGTTTTATAGTTTTCCTGCTGGGGGAGTACACTCCTATTTGTCCTGGTAACAGAAAATAGCCTGTGGAACAATAACAGTGTGTATAGTACATAACAACGAGGGGAAAAAAAATTCAATGCACATCAGAGACAGAGGATTTAGTGATCTGATGACATGGAAAACATCAGTGCAAAACAAGGCCCCTGGGACACATTATTCTTAATCATATAGCATTGGTATGTAAGCGGGAGTCCGACCCAAACCAAGATAGCATACTTAACCTGAGTATTGACATATATTGGAGTCAGGAAGGATGCCCAGAGAAATGGACAAGAAAAAAAAAAGGGCGGGGGACAGAGACCG